GAATTTCCTCACGTCTTTTATTACAGATTCATAAATAGTGCTCCTATTTCGCAATAAGAACGAATTATTTATCAAAAAGTAATCAAGAACTATCACCTAGAGGGTATCTATTTTCTCTTACAGCTTGAGCCTAAGTGTGTCGCACGATACCCTCTAGGTGATAGTTCTTGATTACTTTTTGATAAATAATTCGTTCTTATTGCGAAATAGGAGCACTATTTATCAATCGGTAATAAAAGACGTGAGGAAATTCTGTCTTTTTTAAAGACAAACATTTTTGAGGCGAAATACCCAAAAAGAAGTTTGCAAAAAAATGAATCCGCCTCAGCAATATAGAACTTATCTTCGTCTTGATAGTTTCCCTCAAGCCTCCAGGTGGTGTTTTCTGTTTTCACCGTATCAACAGTAGGTCCATCTTAATTGCAAAAGTTGATTTATCACATGTAAACGACGGGAGGGAGAGTGAGGAGACGATTCCATAGACATGGAAACATCGGGTTTTTTCAATTTCGAATCTGGGATTATTCACTGGTTAACGCAGTTTAATTTCGAATAATCGAGTTTCTGACTTAAATGTTTTCAATTGTGTGATTAGTAGGTGTAGATAATCATGTATGACTTAAATTAAATGAAGATGAAGCAGCAAAATTATCTTTAATTCATAAAGATAATGCCCTTTTTTTAATTTTTCGTTTTTTTGTCGATGGTTTTATTGCTAAAATTATTCAAGCATCCCATTCCAATTCTCGGTTTTTTATGTATGATTAATGTTCTTCCGTTCCTTTATTTAATGTTCTTGCGCTTGAAGTTTTCTCTATATAAAAGTGTATGCGTATGTATTGTAATATTGTATGCGCAAGGAACTTCGAAAATTCCGTTATAACATTCGTTACATTTTATATGAAATTTCCGGGATACCTGGAGGAAAGAGTTTTGTTTTGATTTAATTTTCATTGTGGATTTTAAAGTTTAGTAAAACATTTGTCGATTAAAGAATCTGGATTGTTATTGAAATTTAAAACCTGTTTTATGAACAGTTTTTCTTTGGTAAAATTATGTTGCTAACAAATTATGTTTGCTCCATCATATACACTTTGTTAAATTTAAATATCAATTTGAATGAGGAGGTTTTTTTAATTATTCCAAGGTTTCAAAGTTTTTTAAGTTGTTAAGATATTAAAGAATTAATCAAGTTTTTACTCCCCACGACAATAAATTGAAAATACTTCATCTATATATCGCCGCCAAATTATTGATTTACAACTGAAATTATTTATAAAATTTGTTTCAAAAATTTAAAAAAATATGGAATGTTGTGTTTTTTGTTAAGGGATTTAAAATATATTTGGATCAAGCCTGTGTTGATGAATTTGTATTTTGTACTTCTGGCTACGGATGGTGAACGAACATTTGCTTTGTGAACTATTGAAAACCCCTAAAAATTGGTGTTAATTTCAAAGTAAAAAAACCAAATCTCGGAGCAAATATTCACTGATTTGTGGACATCATTTGTTTGGCCATTTATTATGATTAATATATTCTTTTTTTAAGTATTTTTTGGTAAAAGAGCAGAATTATTACCAGATAGCACTTATTATCGATCTGTAAACGCATTCATCTCGTTCTCCCAAACGCAGTTTATTTTCGATCAAACGCGTGTTTGACCTAAGTGGCTCCCATTGTGTGATTAGGGCAAATGTCGCGTTCAGTAAACTAATATTTTCAAGTTATTTTTAATAATGATGAAAAAGCGTAACTAGTAGGTAAATTGAACACGCATGTTTCTTTTTTTTGCGTGATTAAATCCAATAACCTCTGCAGTTGCTTATAAAACTTGGCATAGAATGTCTGCAAACTTTCCAGCACATGGACTCGAGCTCCACAATCCATCACTTAAGCTTGGCGAACTGAAGTGTCCCCATCTAACGCAAGTGTCTCCTTCATCAGATATTGTCGGCTCTGAAGCTCTCCAATTAGTATAGGCAAAATCCTCCTTACTGGTCAGCCAAGTCCATCCTGAGCGCGAAGCAGTGTTCTGATACGTTCCAGCAATCCAGAACCAATCTGAACAAATCCAGTAATCCTTAGTTGAAAACGCTTTATTCTAGCATACTGATTTTAGTGTTTCGTTAAATAGTGTTTCCTAAGTCACTACTAAAGCATTTGCCAAAATTGTCTTGAAAAACCACTTTTAGAACAAAAGTCTGATGTTTTAACTTTTGGAATTCATATACTTACTGTATGGTTCGGTAGAATTTTCAAAGAGCTCCATTATTTCGAGATTTTTTGCGGCAGTGGTGATCGAAGGCACTTCCATTGCGTAATACGCGCAAAAGGTCATAGCTTGAATGAAAGTCACCTAAAACGGTTTTGAACGTAAACTGGACAGCTTTTTTACGATTCTGGATGAGGCAGATTCAGTTTTCCAAACCTTTTTGTTGGGTATTTCGCCTCAAAATTTTGGTCTTTTAAAAAGTCGGAAATTCCTCCCATTTTCTATCGCAGATAGTTCTTGAAAGCTGTAGCGAACCTAGAAGGCATCGTACGACACACCTGGACTTAGTAAGAGAAAATTCCGAAGAAATATTCAGAAAAACGTCCAAAGGAACATTTCTTTGCGAATTATTGAAACGTAAAAATGTGTTCGAAGGCAAAGGAATAACAATTTGGGAAACAACAACAACTCCACAGATTTGCAGGAATTATTTGTTTAACAATTTACTAATATACTGTTTTTCCAGTAGGCATCTCTTGCTAAAGAGGCCAGAAGTGATTTTTTTGCAAGTTGTCCAACTCAAATCATGTCTCTTACATCTTGAGGCTCACAAGTGTGTCACCGGTTACTTTCTAGATGGTACTTCCTGATTACCTTTTGATCCTCCAAAAATCGTACTGTTATAGAAGATATCGGCAAATTCTCCCGCTTCAAAAAGTCCACTTTGTGAGGCAAACTACCCAACAGAAACTTTGCGAAAAATGTTGCGATCACTTACATCTTCTGCAATGATAAAGTATCGGTCGCTCAGTTTCTTCAAAGGCCCCAAGCCTGTTATGAGGCCGGGGAGCAGGCAAACCACTAAAAGCGACTTCCACATTCTGCAAACTTCTTCGTCTTCAACTTATATCAATGCTGTGCAGCAATTTGCTGCTTTTATATGAAATTGTGTATCTAATCTTAGCGGAGTTGGTTGTACAGACAAAAAAAGTGACAAACACTTCAGCGTTGATCAAGGCTTGATAATATTGTCTATGTTTATCGGAAAAAAAGACCAATTGGACACAAGTGCCTTAAATCCTCCTGTTGTTGCAAGACTTTATTAGGTATGATAACTCTAGGTACTCTCAACGCTAATAACGCTACTCAAGTACCAAAACAACCTTTCAGTTCCCGTTAGTTGGGGATTTTGCTACAAAACTCGCTTCTACACGTGTAAAATGTGTATTTCTGGCTACTACGTAGACCGTAGTTCAATGTCTGTGTGGTTTTCGTCTCATGGGGTTTTATCATTACAGGTTGAAGTGGAACAGAAGGAGCGGGTTAATTCAGGCTAAAAAGCAACAATCACCAGGCTGAACGGTTGCCCTAAAAGTCGCCTAATGGAAGGATGTCTAGTTTTGTCGATCCACATAATATGAAGTTTTTTGCACGTAGTTTTGTTGTCGTCCGGAGCCAAGGAAGATGAAAAGGTGCACTATTCTGTGTTGCTGATAAGACGAAAATTGGTCGCAGTTTTTCAACACCTTAATTCCTGTATTTGTTGATCAATAATATCTTACGGCGTGAAATTAAGTAGAGATTTCTCACGAGAGCCCACTTATCTCGGAGCGAATGTACATCATCCAAGGAATGCAATAAAGACCCTTTCAAGCGCGCTCTAACCACTCACATGTATTTATTTTCGCCTAATTTTAGACGGCAATCAACCACTTTTTTCTCCAAGTTTATCAGGGCTAATTGACTCAAGATTGATTAGTGTTTAATAGGGACTTCAGTCAGCCTCCCCTCAATATTTTAGTGTTTTTTTTGTTGATAAAATTGTCCGTTTGGTGCTGGATTCATTTCTTTGTCCATCTTGTTTACATCAGTTTGCTGATTTCATCGGAACTACTCAAAAGTTGGGCTAAACTGCGCACCTGAGATCTACTTGAAAATTCTCCGGAATAATTGGTTGTTTGTCTGCTTATCTGCCCCATCAAGATAGTCCGAAGATTAATTCAAGTTAAAACTATCTACTGGAGTTTACAACAAACAAGTGGTTTGTTCAAGTGAGTTTTGTAGAATCCCCGCTTTTTCTGGTTTCCTAAACGCGAATCGCAATAATTCACCAAAAACTTGTCCAAGTTATCGGTGCTTTAAGGCTCTTTGGTAGGTGAAGATTGATAAACGGCAACTTTCTCCTTCATGCGTGTTTGAAATGGAGCAAATCGGGAGTTTTTCATTGGGTTGCCGTCGCCTTTTCTGCACATCCGGCAGATAAAAGCTTTTAACCACCACGTGTTGCATGGATTCGTGGCTGTTTGTCTTTTTATGCGAAACGATTGTCGCCAAGAGATGACATGTTATTGCTCAACATGACAACTGGATGGCGCCAGCAATAAATCTCGCAGAATAACTTTAGCTAGTTGAAAAGTACTCAATGATTGGGCCCATTGAAACGTTGCTTACATGAACTGTTCACTACCTAGGAAATTTGATTTAATCGAGTTCTCCTTCCAAGTTTTTGCTCCCGCTGGTACTCTTCTACTTCATCAGTTACTCGATCTGATCGATTAGATGTTCCAGGGTTTCTCCAGGGAGAGGGGGTCATGACCCTCCCTTCAATTCTCTATCCAACGATGCCAAAACGAATTCTCTGGCTCGAATGGTTCTTGAGAAACTTCGAAACAAGCAGCGTCATGTTCAAGTGGATTT